GAACACTGGGGAAGTTAACGTGTTTAGTCAGAGGGTATGAATTTATATATTTTATATATAAATATGACATTTTAAATACTTGGCATACTTATTTCGCCCATCTGTGGTTTGCTGTAAAGCCCAGGAAGAGGAAATTGGCAGAAGGAGAGCAGGGAGAGGTGATCCAGTGGCTTTCTCTGGGATGGGCAGAGATCACATTCCATTAAAAACCACCGTTTGCTCATGTTTTTCATTTGGAGTGACTTGCAAGTGATTTTTATCTCCATGTAGAAAATAAATCACGAGGTATAGAAAACCTAAGAGAACAAAGCAAGCAATGTAAAGATTGATACTTGATGAGGTTATGGTATATCAAGCAGAGCAGTACGAGTATCCCATGTGCTTTATGTAGTTCTTTTTTCAGGTAGGGTTTTTATTTTCCTTTTTCTTTTTTTGATACTTGCCTAAAATGCATGTGGCTAAGAAATAGTTACTGGGGAGGTAAATGGAGGCAGAGGCTGTCTGGCTAGCTTTGTTTAATGTCTTCTGGAGTTTCCATACAGAACACCCAAGCATAATTGTTATTTGGAGGGGGAAAATGTAATTTCATGTAAGTGAAATAAAAATTAAATTAAAACCTGTTGCCATTTTTTCCTTTGTCTTGGTTTCGTATCTGGCTCGGCCTTCTCGATAGGAGAAAACACGCGGCCCCGGTTATGAAAGAAGATGAGACTTTTATTGTAGCTGTTACTACAGCTAACGTGCGACTGTGGTCAAGTTTGCAATCTTTCGCCTGAAAGCGCCAAAACTGGAGTCGTCACATCCTTACAGTTCTTTACATGTACGGCGACAGTGGCAGGTCACCATGCTTCTCTTTACGTTAATTACCCACTGTGCAGTATTGCTGACTTTCAGAGGCGCACAAGCAGCGAATAACCCCCTTACGTGTGAGGATTGACGGTTTCCTTTATCCCTGCTGATCGTAGCATCTGTTGGTTTTCCATTCTTAGAAATCCTCCCATTACAAACTTTCCTCTGCGGAGAGCTACAGCGTTTCATTTGGCTGATGCTTTTATCTAAAGCGACCTACATTTGCACCCGTTACGTGCTGTGAATTTTGCTGGAACATTTTAGATGAAGCACCTTGCCCGAGGGTACAACAACAGAATCTCATCTGGGATTTGAACCCACAACTTCCCAGTTATGAGGCCTTAACCCTCACCACTGCTCCACACTGTACAGTACAGTGCCCGTCGTTGCTGTCCTGTTAGCCGAGGCTCTTGCAGGGAAAGTAAGGCAGATGTCTTCGCTGAAGCCCCTTGAAATATAATGGCTTTGAAGATCCGTGTAAATTTTGCTGATGTGAGCAGACTTTTCTGCATCTACTGCTCATGTGCGTCTTGCCTCTCTTGCATTTTTTTTAGTCTCGGGGAAAGCGGAATGTGAAAACCAGTGCTGCCTCCAGTGCATTTATGGGGCAGCATTGTGGTGCAGTGGTCAGGGTAGTGGAAGGTTATGGGTTGTCATCCCAGGTGAGACACTGCTTTTGTATCCTTGAGTAAAGTGATTCATGTGAGTAGTTCTAGTAAAATACCCAACTACATTGAGGTCAAATGTAGTTGTTTTAAATAAAAGCATCACCCAAATGACTTAGGCTTGTTTGCGTTGAGGCTTCTTGTCCCTCTGCCTTTAGAGGCTCGGCTGTCCTCAAGGACCAACTGGTGTGGGAAGAAGTGGAGCCGTTGCCGAATTCTGCAGGCACATGTCTGTGTCTCATAGGTGTCAGGTTGCTCTGGGGGTTGAAAGATGTGGACGTTGCCCTTTGCCAACTCCGCTCTAAAAACTAGAAATCCACAAGAGGGATGAGGGTGGTCCTGTAACAAATATCCTGCTTCAGTAACATCGGAGCAGAAAAAAAAATGTCATTGTCTTCTTTTTTGCAACTACTTTTTAAAATTTCCTTTAAATACCGTTGAAAAATGTAACATGGTGGGGGGGGAGACAGATGGTTGGTACATTTCAGTCTTTTCATCTTTTCAGTACATGTCGACTCAGCAGAGGTGTGAATGCTTTGAAGGAACAGGCCCACAGATGTGAGATGCGTACCTGTATAAAGAATGCATGATGTGTGGTAATGCTGTAACCACACAGTGATGCACTGATGAGACGATGAGACACAAGCTGTAAGTGAATGGAACCACACCCCAACTAATTCACTGTACTTTTCCAGAAATGTTCAGAAAGTCTTGGTAGTTTGGCAGTACTGTAGTATGAACATAGCACTGAGCCAAGTGTCCACATGCTGGGCTGGACAAATACATGTATGGCAGATGTGTATTTCCTGTAATCCGCTAAATATATGTTGAGAGAGAGAGTGCCTTAAATAGGTTAAGATTAACTTGTGGATTACAAGCACCTCGGGTAGACCGAGTTGAGATCTTGCTCTTGTTTTTCTGCTATTACAGACCAAACTCATTGAAGCTAGCAAGACTCCTCTGAAACAGCACCGTTAGCGCGGTATGAGACTTGTCACTCACTCGCCGTGTTCAGAGTAGCAGTGCCACCAACTGGTGAAAAGTCCCTGTTTTTTCCTCTTTATTTTGTGGTGTAGGCGGGCTGTTAGCTGCACACCCTTCAGAGGAACAGTAGCAGCCATGTCGCCCTGCAGCTCACAACTGGCTATCCACTGAAGCTCAGC